CAACTGAAGTCAGGCATATCTACTACTAAATGATGGTTAACACAAAGCATCAGTATGTTGTCATTGTTATTGTGAGCTGTTAGCTATTAGCAACATTAGCAACACTAACATATTTCTGAGATGGTGTTGTGTATTTACTCACTGTGATGTTGTACAATTACATTTATAGAGCTCAGTCACTAACAGTGATCTGTACCTTTAAACCTTAAACAGACAGTGGTGAGCTTCTTTTAGACACCCCCCCCCCCCCCCCCCCCCTCGTGCCCTCCCTCTCACTACACCCCTCCTTCTCCCTCCTCTCACACTCTTACCTCCTCCCCCCCATCCACCTCCACACCACCACACATCCCAAATTCCTGGAGCTGGATGCTCCACTAATTCGCTCTGACAGCCCCAGTGTCAGTGCCGTGGCCCAACTCAGGACGCTGTCAGCCTCTTTCCTGCTCGCCCTACGGACCTCCCTCTGCCTCTATCACCACACACTAGAGAATGCTCCTGTCCTCATCTTAAGCTTTGCCTTTCTCTCACTTATTCTGCTTTTTCACTGATTCTGTTTGATATGCACGGAAAGAGATGCTGGAAAAAATACAAATGTTTAAATTTTAAAACAAAGCAGGAATCTAACAGAGAAATTTAGATTTATTACAAAAGAAAGATAAATGTAGATAAATATTCAAAGATTAGTTATGTTGTTTACTCCATCGACTATCTCGCTTTCCCTCTCTCTGTCTCTCTCTCTCTATCCATCTCTGTGCCCTACCTCCATTCCTTCATCCCCACTCTCATCCCACTCTCACTCTCAGCATGATGGGTTGTGTCCAGTCAGTGGGCAGCCTTGGTGTAATTTGGCCCAGAGGGGCTGTTGGCAGTAGGTTTGGGGATAAAGGGAGCAGGGATGGTGGGGTTTGGAGAAAAGCAGGCTTAGTGTGGGGCCTTGGATGGAGGGGCCAGCAAGCACATAGGAAAAGCATTAAATAAACATTAATGGAACTAGGTTACAGGAGATTTATTAAGGAGGCTTTTTGGGCCCCCACTGTAGGGTTTTATGCAGCACTTTAATAACTCTCTCATGCACACAGGTAAACAAAGCAGGTAATTTATTGCCATCCTCATAGGTGACCATTGTGAAAACTGTTAAAAACTTTGCTATAAATAAATTTCCCCCTTTTTCTCTGGATTTTATTTTGAAATTGAATGAAGTCTGGCTCCTAAAAAGCCTTTTTACATCTAGGGTAAGTCTGACTTGGATATGATTTTGATGTCACTTCGTGGTGTTAAAAATGAGTGCCCTTAATCGCAGCTTACTGATGTTAAATGTACCCTTTCTGGCATGTCAAACACACAGATAAAAAGTGACTGATTAAACACAGTAATGAGAACACTGTGGCAGGACAAAGAACTAATACTAGACGTTTTACAAGGACATGGTAGGTTTAGGCAACAACAGGGGATTTGAGATAGAGAATTATAAAAACATGAACTAGCAGAGAGCTGCCATTGACATCTGACACTGTCTTTTTAAATCAATGCTTTCAGACATGACACTGTCGGAAACTGGAGCTTTCTGTGATATGCTTTGTGCCTTGCTGCTATTCCACAAGCTGTTTTCGAATTGCGATTGTTTATAACTCCAGTTGTGCCAGCTTCAGTTATTAAAATAGCTATTCCAAAAATTCAAGAAAGATGAGACGCACAGCTCAACAACGCCAGTATTTTCAGAACTACACATTCTAATCTAGTCATTAATAGGAACTCAATAATCATTCCACATCTTTTGTACCTTCCACTTTTGTAACTCTAAGCTCTCCAGCCCTTGAGCAATTCTCTTGCTCTGTGTTGGTGAGGTTCAGTGCACAGGAAGTGCAGACGCTAGTCCTCCTTTGAGAACAGAACTAGAAGAGGAGAGCCGGGACTGACAAACAGAGTCAGGGCAACCAAAGGCTGCGCGATGCTTTACCTTGAGACCCATCGCCTCTGCTCCCTGCTCTACTTCAAGCCCAAGTGACGTGAATACCAGACACAGCTCAGACAGAGTACTTCTGAAAGTTCACTCTGAGTAGAAGAGAAAGACAGGAGTTTGTTTCTGAGTGAGGGAAGTTAATGGACAGAATATCTAGGGGAAACGTAGAAAGAGAATCATAAAGGGAATGGGTTTGAGTTGGACAGGAAGAAAAGGAAATAGAACAAGATTTATCTTTGGAGAGGGAGAGACAGTTAAGGCTACTAAGGCAGAAAAAAGAAAAGAAAAAAAGAAAAAAGTAACAGGTAGTGGTTGTGTTGCAGTATATCAATATATCTATACATCTATCTCTGTGTGTGTGCGTGCTTGTACAAGTATGAGCACATTTGTGTGTGCCTGTGCCTGTTCACTCTATATCTGTGAGTGTGTTTGATGGGGCCTCAACCATACCGGTTGTGTTGCTGCAGGATAGTGTGCATCAGGCTCCATCAATATGACATGTCTTTGATGTGGAAATACAAGGAGCAAAAGCCCAGCCAGCCTCGGTCCAGTCCCCAGCAGGACACTTCTACAATCGTGCACGTGCATGTGTGTATTTGAGTGTATGTGAGGGAGAGAAATAGAGAAAGAGAAACACGGAGAGCCACAAGCCACAACAACCACCAAAAGGAACCACTGCTTTAATGTTTTTAGACTATCATTCTGCCAGGGAGCCAACGGCTTTGACCCAAACGTTTCCTGAGCTAAAGGCAGCGTGGACTACGCTGAGGCCCAGAATCAATCATCCATGTAAATGCTGTTAACACACATTACCGTGCCGCTGCTGAATAATATCAATGTGTCTTCTGCTCCTAATTGACACATTGATTCTATTCTTGCCTTTTGGATTAATCTGTTGCTGCACCATGTTTTCACATTAGCGTGCTGAATATTTATGATTTTCAACCAATTTTCCATTCTGACCTATGAGAAATTGTGGAAAGGGTCCAGTTAAATGAAGCTCAGGGTGACAATCAACACAAACTTCATTCGAATGTTTGGATGGAGTACTAAGGGAAGTCTTTACTACAGAAATACAATATCTACACAGTACACCTCTGTCAGTAGTTGACAAAGACATCTTACTTTACAAAGTTGTACTTTTACATCTATCTGTTGAGTCCCTGAGTTTTCTCTCAGAAGCGGAGTTGGAGGGGGTCGGGACAAAAGAAGAGATAAAGACAGTCTGACAGAAGCAAGGAAGATAAATCAGGTCTGGGCAGACAAGGAGAATGAGACGAGGAAGAGGAAAGACAGAAGGATGAGTCCATCCATCGGCCCATGTGTGGGCTTACTCCTATCGTGGGCTGTGCCATCACTGCTGTCTTGTTAACGCTGGCTTGTAGGGACGTTATCCAATCCTAGTAGTTTATATTCACCTCTCTGCTACTCTTGTGCCTTTCTACAATACACACTTATATATGAGCATTTTTAAGTGCACATGTACATATACTTCACGGGCAGATTTGAATATTGTATTTATATCCACACAGAAGTTCATTGCATGGGAAAGGACCCAGAACAATACCAGGACCTCACTGCAGAAGTTCAGCCAGATAAAAGAAAATATAAATAAATAAAGGGTATTGTAGAAAAACTGGCATCCACATAACAATGGCAGATTGCTCACAAACAGAAATATCTTTATAACTGTTCAACCCTGACAATCACTGGCCAAGGCGACTGCACATGAGCACTAATTGCCTATAATTGTACCCATGACACAGGGAACAAGAAGCTTCTGCCTATAACATAAAGAAGCAAAATACAGTCTCAATTATTCCTTTAATATGTTGTTTGACAGTACAGAATTTATCAGATTTAAATTGAAAGGCTTTCAAAACAACAGTGATGCACATTTAATCTGACAAAAGAATAAATCCTTGTTTTTATAGAAGATCGTTAGTATTATACATTTATCTTCAAGCATTATGGCCATGCTAAACCCTTTGCTCAACAGCCTTATACACTTCGGAAAGTGTTTTTACTCAAATTATTAATTTGAACAGAGGAGACAAACTAACTTTCATTTAGTTTTAATGCAGGAATCGACATTTGTTTTACTTGTGCTAGTTTTCAATATGTCGGATCATCTGACTATTTGTTGTTCAGTTAGACCTATTTTTAGAGATGTTGTCACAGTGTTATCTTATCCAATAGAAAAATAAAGCTTTACTCATCATTTCTCATCACAGTCATGAGCGTTGAGCCATTGTCGATATTATTGCTTCTTAAGAAGGAAGATGAAAATGATTGAAGACACAGCAGGGGCTGGACACCATCGCTGATGCATTGAAACTATTATGGAGTTTAAACCGCAGGTTGTTCTTCTCGCCCCATGCTCATCTGTGCTTTCAAGCATGTACATGCATGTATGTACAAGCTGATGCCTGTGTGTGCTAAGTTGTGTCGTCCACATCCCAGTCAGGGCGTGTGAGTCTTGGAGTCTCCAAGAGCAGTCTTCATGAGGTCAGTGGCTGCTGTGATAATGCTTAACTGATGCCGGCTGTCAATAGCCATTCACCAGGAGAAAAGTGCTCCGCCTGTTCAGTAAATTACATAGTGCGACGTGAGCTGTGAGGTTCAAAACAACCTGACCCCACTGTTGTTGGAAGAAACAATAGAACAATGACTGCAATCAGCTTTTCCAGCAACCATCTGTGTCATGCTGCTGACTACAAAACACCTTTCCATTACTCCAGGGCTGCACCTATTAGCTCACCGTGCTATTGGCTCCAGAGTGAGATGGAGAGGTTATTGTAATGGCACATTAGATTGTCTCTGACCCTTCTTTATCCAGCTCTTTGTTTTGCTGACCTTGACATAGGTGGGCTCTTTAAAGGCTGTAAATAATCTGAAATCATCATTTCTCAGGGTGGCTTGTTTTTTTATTCACAGATGAACATAGTTGTGAAAAGAAGATTTTATAGAATTTTTTTTTTTCATTTGTTTTAGACATGATTTCTCCTCTGTCCATTTTCCTTGACTCTCTCCTTCTCACGGCTTCTGCAAGCATGCCCGGGAGCAGTATGAAAAGCTTTCCACTATGCATAAGAACATGCAGAAGCTCTACGAGAGCATCGGCAACTTTTTTGCCTTTGACCCTCACTCAGTCAGCCTGGAAGATTTCTTCGGAGAACTGGCCAACTTCATCATACTCTTCATGGTAAGTACGCGTTGTTTACATGTGCATGAAGAGTCCCATGTTTTCTGTTGCTTCAAAACAGACAAACACAGACAAACAGAAGCCAACACCCACACATGCACTTGCTTTCACACACACTTTCACTTTGACACAGAAAAGGCGTCAATGAAATGAGAACAGAATCTATGTGTTACACATGCATGCATTTTTATTACACTTTCAGCAGGTCCTGACAGATGGTGAAAATATGTAAGCATTGCAGAAGGGGTGCTGTGGGGGTTACATTTATGTTAATGTTATAATTCAAGTGGTAACACACTTGGTTTTAAGCTTCCATGAACTTGGGGGTCACATATTTCAAGATGCCATGTTTTTTGGTTCAAATTATCAGTCATGTTATAAAAATTCTTGATCCTTTACTTCCCATAATGCAATGCAATATCATATTCATAAACCCTCTTTGTGTGATAAAAAAAAAAGTCTGCATCTTTAATGCTCACTCTGTTCCTCACTCAGGCTCTCTCCAGTTACGATAATGTTTCCCCAGGACAAAACAACTCCACTGACATCACGATGACACTGAATTTACTGATGATTATTTACTCAGATTCAGCCCAAGCTCCTCCAGAGCCACAGAGGACATTGTACAATTGTAGTCCATCTGAGAATCTGGTTCTGGTTCTGAGGGGGATTTTACTCTACTCTTCTACAAATACCAGAAAGTTTTAGGCTTGAGAAAGTAAACCATGTTTTCTGACCATTTATTGTGTTCTTTAAATTCCCTTGGTTAGCCCTGACATCTTTTTCCTTTTTTGTTCTCAAGAATATCCCTGTGCTCACCTACTGTGCAACTTCCCTCCATATGTTTTCTTTTAGTAGGTCACAATGCCACTGTGTCTGCCAGAGATGTTTTTTTATTTCAGAATCACTGACATAACCTTTTTTCGTTACAGAAGACTTTCTTTCATACCATCACATTCTGTGTGGTTATGAATATCGGTCTTTTTAAATATTTTTCAAAAATAAAAAGATTCAGAGGTATTTAAAGTTGTTTTTATTTAAAGATATTTTCACACACAGCATTCAGGGGATTTAAACACAAGCACCTATTTCCCACCAATATATGTATCTGACGTGTTTTAAATCTGAATATTTGATCACATGCAAATCCAACTTCATTCTTGATCACATTGATCTGAGTGCAATGAGGGTCAGATGCTTAAACTTGCAACATACCTTATAACTTCATGTATAACTTCCAACTGATTAAGAAACGTCTAACTCTGATATGGGTGCTGGAAGAAAAAAGATGCTTAAGAAGTTTTGAAACAGATTAGAATATAGTGCTTGAAGGGGGGGGGGGTGCTGAAAAGGAGATAATGTTTAATTCTAGTGTCTTACTGATAAAAGAGGTTTGGGCAAGCTGCTTAACCTGTTAACCACACTTTCATTAGCTCATTATGAGAGGACCTGGAAAAGTAGATGGAACTGTATTTTACTTTACAGCCATTATTTTAAAATTATTTTCAGTAAGGCTGAGAAAAGATAATTTTCACATATCAACCTTAAACACAAGTCTGTTAGACAAGTGTCTCTGCCTTTCTGCCGTTACCCATCCCCAGTGGCAACCCCCAGAACTCCCAGTTCCAGGATGATGACATGGTGTCCAGTTGTGAACCCTGAGAGCAACCCCTCAGGGTTCACAACTCATTAACCTGAATGGCAAAGTCCCCTTGTCTGAATCCTTCTCCTGTCTTTGCCCTGATCCCCATCTCAAACCAACTTCTCATTCCCACTGATCAAAGAGCACCAGCACACAACACAATGCTCCCTCAAGGATTCCACAGATGCATATCTCTAAAAGAGGCATCCACCCAAGAAAATAAATTATTCTCTCAAGCAAATAGCTGCATATGAATATTTTATTACTGATTTAAACTTTCTTGCTATGGATGAGTGGAGGAAAGTGAGTGGGATAAGGTGTTGTGGTGTGGGTGAGATGAGGGAGGGGGTGTTGGTGGTTATAAGTTAATGTATTCATATAAAAACAATCCTTTAATCACAACACTCTTCAGATATTATTTATAGTTTTTGGCTCTTCAGCTGTGCTGACAGAAAGGCTAATCCCATCTGCTTGCAGAGCATGAGGAATCAATGGTTGCTTTTATTTTCTTACCCTGAAAAAAACAACTGAGCTAGCATCTTACAGCACCACGAAAACCTCCTCCCTTGCTTTTTCCTGTCAGTGAGCGGATTTTGGAGAGATGTCTGCTAGTTATTCATCTTTGACAAAGTCGGCCTACATCAACCATTACTGATTTGTTCCAAATGGCAAATCAAATGAACACAATGACTTCATGTCAGTTAATAATTTAAGATGAGGCCTGTGTTTAACTTCTTGATATAATTATTCTGCCCACGACTTTTATTTCAATATTGAGACATTGAGTTGTTCGACTCAGTTGAAACATCTCTGCTAACTTCCATCTATGTTGCATTGCCCTGTGTAATGCATTCACAGCACAAAGCATCTGCAGTATTAAAGAATTCCAATGCAATACAGTCACCCTAAATTGCTTTTGCTAAAAAGCTAGGGCTTAATGCACCCGACCGACATGAGGCATTTGAGTAAACGCACTGACGGACAGTCCTCACAGAACTGAATGTAACTGATAAGGGAATCCATTTACTCTCTTTTACTTCTGTTTCATTCTCTTTCTCTCCCTCACTCCCATCCTATTCTGTTCTTTTTTCCCTTTGGCCAATGAAATATTATTTGATTTCAGCACATGGAGTCAGTATTCGAAGAGTCCAGCAATTTGTTAATTTAATGCTGCTGCCATATTCTGAAATAGAGTATGAGTGAAATGCAATCGCAGGGTCTGTATGTGTAATCCTGACCAGGAGCACGGGGGATTAGGATTTTCCCATTAATGAGTTATCAAAGCGCAGCAGATGGGCTGGGATGAGCTAACACTCTTCCTGGTTGATTTAGTGACTTTCTAACAGGAAAAGATGCAGATCAGGTTCTAAAAGTAGCAAGATAATGTATCTGAGAGTTTGAAGTGATGATTTGTGTATTGGTGGGTGCATTTGTCCACTTTTGAGCCCATTTGTTTTCGAAGTTTGCTAATTCCTTCACAATATGACAAATATTGCTGATCATGCTGAAGATGATGCTCTGACAGTGCCGCTCTCGTCACCGTCTTTCTCAATCAATGTCATGTTTTCTCAGTAATTTAAGTAACACTGTCATGACACGGTCACTGAAACTGTCTCACCAGATCATCAATACGGAAATACATCCATACTACAGAGCAGAAGTCGCACAATCTGTAACTTATAACTTCCTGAAGCCGCTTCCCCCCAACATTCTGGCACACAGTGTAACAGATGGCTAATAAACACATTTGCTGCTTAAAGCCTCGGCGCTGTAGTGTTTGTAAAATTGAAATGAGATATAGCAGTGACACTCTCTGCGTGAGATCACTGGTGCAACCGAGCAGTTAGAAATACTCATTGCTCCCTCATTCCATTGGAAGGCTCGTATGCATGGGAGGGGGTGCCATGCTGTGGGAGATGTATTGTGTTGTGCAGGGTCAAGGAAGAACAGCAAACACATTTCATGAATTATTGAAAGAACAGACCTGGAGGAGAAAATGCAGCCTGGCCCTTGTTGGTAGATTAGACCTGTGGGCTGCAAAGCATTCTGTTTTCTGGCCAAGTATAGATAGAGGAGTACTTATAATCTCCATCTTATACGCAGCGGAGGCCTAGAGTGTGACATACACTCACTTTGTCTCATGGCCTCTATACGCCTGAAAGCAAGAATGAGCTACTTCACGGAATGGGTTTGTGTTGTTGACAAACCAACCTGGTAAAAAGGTGCTATTATGCAAAACCACACATTTTGTTTTGGTCTCTCTGAGAATCATACGCTGAATTGACATACGTCCCTGAGCAACATGCATATCAGCACCACAGCTTTCAGCAGAGGGGCTCAGGGCACAGAGGCAGTCATGAGCATATACCCCCTTGACAGTAGGATTTGTTTTATTTAAGGATCATGGTGGATAAGAACCCTCTAACCTCCTGTGCTACATTTACAATAGGTCTTACTATTCCTAATTACCTTCAAATTAATTGCACTATGTTTAATTTTTCCTCTTTTCTAAACCTTCATGTCTTTATCTGCTTCGACAACTTGTTTATTTTTTGAACATATTTGATTATGTGATTTGCAACAAAAATGGTACCTTACAATACTCTCATTAAGATGTATTTTTCAAACACATACAATTCATTAGATTTCTTGTGCAGTATTTTATTTTGTATATAATTCAATTCCAGGTTCTGGCTAGACCAAGGTGTTACTCCCAGGATGATTAGATGCCTATTATACACTTCAACATTGTTTACCATTTACAAAAATATCAAGATTTTCTTCAACACATGTGAAGGCCAGAAATAACTCGTTACTATGGTCACAAATCATAGAGTGAATATTTTCTTTAATTGGAAGTAGATGAAAGTACAAAACAAGATGCATCCAATTCCTTCAACATGTTTTACAACATTTTTGGATTTCATAGTAAATATTTGAGCATATTCAAGCTTTTTCCTCGTAATATAATGAGGTTTGAAGACATTATATTTCAAACACATCTGGTATGTCCAGCTACAATGTGCAGAGGTACCAAGAAAATAAAACCTGCCATCGGCAAAACAGCGCGAAAAAAATAAGATCAGTAAAAGCATATTTGTTTGTGGTGCTGTTTGATTATGAGCAACATAATTATGTTGCATAATCATGTTTACAGTAAAAATTAGTTGTTTGTTTAAAATAAGTTTTGACGGCAGGATTTTATTCGTACTCTGCATAATTTATCTTCCAACTTGTGCTGTAGATGCTGAGCAATGCAGCGATATTACGTCTAAAATGAATTGAATGCTGTCAGAGGACAGAAATCAATTTGATTCATGCTGCCAGTGCTGCCCATCACATCAACAAATTGCCCAAGTTAACTCTTTCATTACTGAACATCTACCACAGCTCTCATCCACTCTCAGTCAAAACTGCAGCCAAGCGCACATAGTCATAATCTATATGATGTATATATCAATTGATTTCTCAGTGTTTCCACAGACTTGTAGCAGCTGACAAAGCAAATATCTCCTCTTATGTTTTCATAATGCACATAACATCAAAACACACTCACTCTTCTCATGTAGTTTTCACTCTCTATGTTTCTGTCTATCGCCCTCACTTGACTTCTCCATTACCTCCCTCTCTGCCTCTCCATCTCCTTCTCTCATTGCCCTTGTCATCCAACAAAGAGACACTGACAATGAGGGCTTCTGTCCTTGGACATGGAGCAAAGCTCTACTATTGACTGGCATGATGAGCTGCTCTTTCCTTGTTCCTTCCCCACAATCCCCGTAATCCTTCAGTCTTAGCTGCCAACATGACACACACGTCAGGACCACAGGGGCATTTGATGGGGGGCCTACTGTCACCACTTATTATATCAGTGCACAGATGGGGCCGTGCCTTCACTTACTGACACACACGCGGGCACATATGCATACATAAGAGCACAAGCACAAAGATGCCCAGGACTCCAGCATAGGCGCTCAGGCTCATATGCATGTGTACACGTGGAGTATGACCTCTAACACAGTCTTAACACTAACACCTATGATGGGTCCTGTCAAGGGCTGCACCACAGGCCTGAATGAGAACACATTTTGTTTTCTCCAAAGGTCATGGTTGAATTATCCTCTCTGTTGGCACAAGAACAAACTGACACGTTTGTAAAGGCTGTATCTGTGCGGTTGATTATCTCTCTTTTTCTGACTCCTCCCTGACATTTCAGCCGGTCACGAAAGAGGAGGAGGATGGTATCTCTTTCTCTCTCCTCAGAGACTGGCACTGCTACAGTTTTCTTTTTTCATGCTGTCACTCCCATATTGTCAGGGAATATACTTGCATGGTACATGTTTGTGTGTATATATATATATATATATATTGTTTATTCCAGCAGCGATCAAACCCCTCTCTGAATTAGAATTTGCTGATGGCACCGTTTCTGAATACTACAATACAGTAGCAGAGACACTAAAAAGCAGCCAAATTTTGATTTTATCTGTCTGTGTGCCTTTGTCCATGTCTGTGCGTGTGTGTGTGCCTCATCAGGAAGCAGTGAAGGAGAACCACAAGAAGAGGGAGATGGAGGAGAAGATCAAGAGAGCCAAGCTGGCGAAGGAGAAAGCGGAGCGCGAGAAGCAGGAGCGCCAGCAGAAGAAGAAGCAGCTGATTGACATGAACAAAGGTATGCCACTTCTCCCTGTGCCACCACAGAGACAGAGACGGGGAGGCAGGTGGGGAGTAAGGAGGAGAACAGGAAGATGGAGGGGGTTTCATGGAATTGTGCTTCACACAGATATGAACTCAGAGGGAAGAGGATAATGCATAGCAAGTGGGGGGAGTTGTCTTTTTCAGCTGTGAAGGAATGTTATATTTACCTCCTCAGCCAATACAATGCTTCCAAACAACAGGCAGATTATGCTACTTTTAGCTTGTTTTTTCCATGGTGCATTTGCTCACATGGACAGAAACATTCTCTGCAGTACCAGTCTTCCGAAACATTGAACGTTTTTTTAGAACAATGGTATAACTCAGCAGTAGTACCAGGTATAGGAATGTAGTGATGAATAAATGTAAATGCTCTGTTTGAGCTCTCGTACAAGTGGCAGGAGCACACTATGTAGGTCACACGTAAGGACAGGTAGCTGAGTTCTGCTTTTACAACAAAAGCTGAAAGTGGCTCTGTACATTACACTTCCAACACAGTCATGCTGTTGTTACTTTTTCTCTGGTCATTTGCGAGTAATGCAAGACAACATGGTCATTCCTCCGTCTGAGAAGTTTGCAGGCAGTGAGCTATATTTATTGAAGTGAATCATTGGAATTGCTCTTTTGTCCTGTAGCGATACCAGTACACTGTGTATTGATCAGTGTAAGTTGCAGTTATCCAGACATGAAAAATTAGAGCAACAGAGCTGGGTGCCTGTGTCTAGTTATGCCAATGACATTGAGAAGGAATTTCAAGCCTGAAGGGGCTTTGCAAGCAGTCATTGTGGTCTTTTGTCCATTTTTTTGACAAACAGAATGGGATTTTCACAATTCACCAGCTTCTAAATGTCAGCACCAGCCAAGGACCTCTCTGTAGCTCAGCCACATTGGGAAATGTGACAAGACAGTGCTCAGTATGCCACAAACTCTCCAAGATAATTGATGCATGCTACATTTTTTTCTTTTCTTCCATGAGCAGTGACCTCTTTGAAAGCTTCACTTTTAATAATCCAACATTGCTGAGCTGAAGGAGGCTGTCTAACCCTCTCTCTCATTCTGGCTAACCAGATGGAGAAGGGTAGAGAAGTAGGTATGATATTAAATATTTCTGCCAGAGCAGATTTTGATCTCAGTTTCTGAATGCCATAATATGACTTGTATGAATAAAACATGAGGGCGACATGGGCAACGTTGCCTGCAGCTTTAGAGATAGTGGGGATTGTCCTCCTACCAACTATTAGCTTGTTGGACTGTCGCGATCACAATGACCTTGGCAGTTATGATACACCAATTTAAACCCAGGATGCTTCTTACCTGACAAAACATTTTCATTGAATAATTCCTTTTTTGTGTACTAAATTGTCTCTATGTGAAATGCAATCGGAGAAAGTGAAATCAAAAAAAGCTCTTTAATTGGATGCTGTGAATGGAAAGCTGATCTTGGGCCAGGAGGAGGTTGGAGGTTACAGCAGCTTGTTGTTCTGCTCGTGTTCTTGCTCAGTTTCTCTTTAAGCTGTTTGGTTGGAACACACTTAGCAGGATATTCAGTGTTTTCTTTTGTTGCATATCTTTATTATGCCTCAGCAGCAACAACAACCATCGCCTGAGGGAATTCCTCAGTAATTTCACTTACTGTTATTTCTTTAAATTTGGAAAAGCATTCACTTGGACTTAAGTGAATGAATTGAGTAGATTTTAGTGGGTCAAGGTCACTCACTGCAAGAATTCATGAGCTAATTATTAGGAAATGCACTTTATTCATTTAATTAAATTCCTTTAAAAGTGTTCCCTATACATAGAGCATATTTAATCATTTGTATATTTTGATTTAGCATAGGCAGACATGGATTTTTACTGATATTAGTTGGTGGAAGGATTCCTTTGTTTCTGCTCCTCTCCAGACAGCTTTGGCTTGAGAGTCTTGGCTCTGTCCTCCCATGCTTTTGTACGGTTATATGTGCTTCAGATATTTTGAGTAGTTAGTTATTTGAGGGGACTTTGCTAATCTATATTTCATGCTGAGCATCAACATGTTCTCTGTGAAGGCTGAAAAGTCAGATAGCTTACTGGACAAAGAGGCTTGTTTAATTCCTTCATCCATTCTGGCGTTTTGGATCAGTGAATAGGTGGAGGGATGGATGTAATGAATTGCTGACCTGAATTAAGTATTTTTGTGTTTACAATTCCATTAGAATGAGCAGATGGAGACAACATACGGTCATTGTTTTAAGAGAATTATGTACGGGTCAGTATCTTATCTGTTTTATGGATTAACTGATTTAGTAATTTTATTGCTTAAAAGACTTTTAGGTGGATCATACTATTGGTTTTAATGCAGTTTCAAGGGGCTATTTTTCAGATTTGTGATTTTTTTTCGTCATCTCACAAATTGTGACCTAATCCTCTTCACTTGCAAATGATTAACAATGAAATGCATATTTAATGAGAGTTTAATTCATTTAGCATTTTCCAGGACGGCACCACGGTGGGGGAGGGGAAATGGACAAATGCTTTTAGGAAACTGAAAAATAAAACCATTTCCCCTCTTTCCCAGTTGATAAAACCTGAGATTATACTATCTGACATACCCACTTATTCAACAAGTATGATTGATAGATGAGACAAGTGGAGAGCTAAACGTGTTTTCCTTGTGAAGTATTAGAAATCCTAATTGCTTATGAAATCATTACCGAGTCACTCCATTTGTTTTAATTTGCTCTAAGTGGATTTTCCATAGTCTCTTGAACTGACCAGATGTTCAACATTTACAAAATTGCTTTACTTCACTGGAAAAAAACAGCTAACACAGTAGAATAAACCCAAACTAATGCTTCTGTCTGAAGCAGGGGAAGATGGCTCTTCACAGCAGGATATTTTTTTATTGTGGCCTATGAGGCAATGTCACTAGCAGCATGTCGAGTGTGTCAGAAGCTAGAGCATTTGGACTTTTCCTTCTCCAAGGCATTTGTGCGGAGTAACAGGCCCCTTTGGCGGCCAACTCTGCTGGCATCACTAGGGTCAGTGCCCCCATCTTGAGCAAGTGTCTGCACCCACATGTCAACTGCGTACCCCAGTCAAATCCACTAAGCTTTGAACAGAGCCGGAAAGCTCACATGCCGCTTTGAGCACAATTCAGCTTGGCATACGGCACAAAGTAATAAACAAGCAACCGGAAACAAAAATAAACAGTTATGTGAACATTTGATTTGGTCCAGACATTTCTCCCAGGTAGCACAGAGAAATAGTGGGGAACTTTGTGTTTTACGTGCTTTCCAGCAACTTTTCTCAGACCTACTTTATATAGTTTACTTTGAATGGTTGCTGTAGCTCGTGGAACAGTGCCCTCCCCTATTAGAACCTCTGAAGAACATTTTTATTGCCAACCTGAGGAATATCAAGTGTAGAAGCATATTGGTTGTAGCCTGCAAGTTTTACAACACCTTTTATGAGTGTACCAACAACCTGCTTTCTCTGCTGACTATACCCATTAAATGTATTCCAACTGGACTCATACTGATAAAGATGTTTCTTAAGTAATTTAAGCCCCCAAAATAGAATTATCTGATGGCAAAACTAACTTTCTGTAAAATCAATTACTAAAATTGTTCTAGATAGTGTTATTAAAACCCCCAAAACACACACAGAGGCTCCACAGATGCTGTTTTTATGATTAACTTTTACCTGTGAAAGTGATCATTTTTTACGATAGGAATTAGAGCCCACTCACCTGCTTCCATCCATTCTAACAACAGCTTGCAGACACAGGCAAAATACAGACCCAGTGTGTCGCCCTATTGGGATAATAAAGTGGATTATATTTTTTTTCCCTTTTAGCCTGTTTTGTTAATACAACTATTGAACACACATTTTTACAACCTAAAATATTGTTATCATTGTTCACTCAACAGCTGAGAGTTGTGTAAACCGCATACTTCATCATTGTGGCTCAGACTTCATTAGTCAACATATTGATTATTTTAAGCTTCTTAATGAGAGAAATCACAGATATTAAACTAAGTCATTAACCTGCTTGTAGCAGATGGTTTATCATTAAGATGATTCTTAAATGCAGTTTTTTATAATATCTTTTCTTATTTTTAGTACATTCTACAATCACCATGTGTCCTCCTTTCCATTCAGCAAAGCCGGCAAGAATGAGGTCTCCATATCCCTGTGATTCTTTTCAGAGAACAGTTGGCATTTTGACAATGATGGGCCTGCAGCTTCTATTTATGCATTCTCCTTGTCAACCTCTCACACTTTCAGGATGAACTAGTATATGTTTACACGAATAACAGTGGGCTTCTCTCAAAAAAGCTTTTCATTTTTTAAATACAAGCAACATCTCAGACCACATTTTTCATGTGTACATGATAATATAGATTGGATTTTAATTTAGATTTTGAGACAATAAATCTCTAATTTGTTAAGTATTACACATTTAAGATCCACGTTCACAAAAATATAGAGAAGGTTGATAGAGAGAATTAAGATGGCTTTTACTGATTCTAATGAGCATGTTTTCTTTTTTCTGTGTTTACACCTCTTAATGTATTTTTCCTAAAAGAAAAGGTTATGCAGGTATTTCTTTATTATTTTGTTTACCAAAGTTAATTTTCCAAATCCAAGTATCTATTAGTATGGTATGCTAAAATAAATTGACATATTTTGGTGCAGCTGTCAGACTGGTTGTGGCTGGCGGAGCCCTGTCAGGAATGACAGCAGCAGAGATTTGGATTGATGGCTGTGTGCGACACTGACAGCTGCTGCTAGGCCAGTGCATACCTGTGTTGCAGCAGTGCCAGCTAGGTGATCATAGACAATCGCTGACAGGCAGCACTGGGGTGGACAGGTTAGCGCTCTAAGTTTGCATAGTGTCTCCACAGCACAGCAGACATGGCAAACAATGTTACCAGGTGAGATAGCTTGTAGAGAAGCGAAGGTCAGAAACCCAAATAGGTAAGACATATTTCTAAA